GCACAATACAGAGTATATAAAGTTCGTGTACACTTTAAAAAAATTATAACTTTATTTGTATTTGCGATAGAAATAATTTGTAAAAAGGATTAGAAAGAAGTAAATCTATATTTTTTAAGGTTTTATTGAAATTTTATTTAAGTTTCCACTTTGTCTTCCATCATTAGCAATACAAAGGGTAATACGATTTTGCAGTTCATGGAAAAATTTGCCAACTGATTTACAGTAATGCCTGAAATCACATTAGTTATTTTAGCTGTACTTAAAACTAGGTACATTAAACTTTATAACGTTTTTACAGATTATTTCTATCGCAAATACAAATAAAGTTATAAATTTTTTTAAAGTGCACACGAACTTTATGGACAGCTTGTAGAAAATCATTTTACCCTCTATGAATATGGCTGATGCTAACCTCCAGTAGAGCAGCAACTCATTGAGATTTCTTAATCAATCAATTTCTTCAGTCAATTACTAGGTTTGTTGCTAAAACAGTTGGTTCACTGTTGTTGTTTTTTTGTTTGTTTGTTTTTTTCATTTTTCTCATCGGAATCCACCTTGCACATTTATAAATCTACCATTCGTGCGTGCATTGAATATTGCCGTCATATGTGACCTGGTGCTCCGGCTGTACATCTAGAAATTCTCGATAAAACCCAAAAAAGGGTAATCTGCAATGTTAAGGATCCTGACCTCGACTTCAGTCACTTTCCCACCGCCATGATGTGGCTTCATTTTGTCTTTCCCATCAATATTTTCATGGCAGTTATTCTAATGAGCTTTCTTCGACTGCATGAAATTAAGCGTACAACTAGATTGGCAGTTAGGTCTCATCGTTTTACAGTTGAAATTGCGGAATGTAACCGTAAGTTCTATTATAATAGTTTCTTCTCTCGCACTTCTCACCTGTGAAACTTTCTTCCGATTTCTTGCTTCTCTGCTACAATCAATCTTCAAAAATTTAATTCTAACGTCAGTCGCCATCTTCTGTCTTCCTGAGACCTGTATATTTTATTGTCCTTTCTCCTTACTAAAGTCTTCTCATTGTCTTTCACCTCTAGTAACCACTTGCGTCTTAGTGGGATTATCACTTTGCTTTGGTTGAAATTTTTTAAAAAAATTGTGTAATACAAAACAATGAAAACTGGCTTTTGTATAAGAAAGAGTCTGCGAAAGTAATGCCTCTAATTTATTTCCACGGAAGGTATAGCAGATTTACGGAGTACGATAGCACCATCGGATTTTGTTTTACAGTGAGGATCACCTTTTACAAGGCCCGGGGGCCACTCGAGATAGAGGGTTGAGTTGAGGGCGGGGACATTTGTGTGTATAAGAGTGGAAGATAACGATTAACCCTAGACAGGTTTAAGATTATAGTGATCGGGGAAACATCCCCTTGGGAGTCGGTTCCACAGAACAGTTGTTCGCGGGTAAAAGCTGTTCGAGTAGAACTTACTTCTCACCGATGAAACACAGAAGGGAAGTAGATAGTGAGTTGCTAATATTTCAATGGCATAGCGTATTCTTGCCGTGAAGGTTTGCTTCAGTGGGACCAGGGAATGTAGTTCATCCGATCACCTTCCGTGGAAGTAGAGTTAGAGTAGCGTGAAGTTTGCCACATCCTACCTGTTGGATTGTGAGGTGAAGGGTAGAGAATAATTAGTCACCCATACGGGCTTGGAGATGCTTTTGAACTCAAGGCTGGAGAGTGGGGTCTGGGCAGCACCCACCCAAATATGATAACAGTACTCGATTTGATCTAGCTCTTGTAAACGTAGAAGATGGCAGAAAGAGTTATTTACTGGAGCGGTACAGAGAACCGACCGTTTTACCTACATCCTTAGCAACGGATCGTATGTACGAGTCCCTCTTGAGGTCGAATGTCAGTTTGAGGGCCAACAATCTTTCAAGGCGCGATGTCTCCCTAAAAGGACATCCGTTCATCCTGATTGGTGGTAGGTAGTTCGGGCTCAGATCGGCGATGATGGAATGTAAATAACTTAGTCTTCGAGGCATTGAATTTAACTAGCCAGTTTTGTACCACGTTGGGTAGTTTTTGCAAGATCAACAGAGAGATCGACAAAGAGATCAGTCGCGAATTTCTGACCATCGACAGTTTCAGAGGTGCGCTTGTATATAGTCGTATCATCAGCATAGATGTTTACATATGATCTGAGTATATTCTTAGATCATTTATGAAGATCAAAAAGAGGGTTGATCCGAGGAGTGACCTCTGGGGAACGCCGGCGTTGACCTCTATTTCTCCAGATTACTGGCCATTGATAACTATCTTCATCCACCTACCAGTTAGGAAGGATTTTATGATCGAGAAGACCCTTCCGGTGATTCCATAACTGAAAAGCTTGTGTAGTAAGCCTTTGTGCCACACCATGTCGAAGGCCCTCGAGATATCCAGTGCTATGATCCTTGAGGTGTGTTTGACGTCAAGAGCCTCACTGATTCTGTGATTGATGGCAATTAGGAGGCAGTGGATCGGGCCAATCGAAACCCATACTACACGTCGCTAAAGAACTTGATCTTTTCTAGGTGCTCGATGACCCTCTTATTGATTATGACCTCAAAAAGCTTACTGGTGATACTGAAGAGACTGACGGGTGTGTACTGGGGTGGGGGAAATCACACGCCCACTTTCTTGAAGACCGGGAATACACTTGACACTTTCCACTGGTTTGGGAAGGACTTCTTCAAGCAGCGGTTGAATACCTTTGCAAGGGTTGGGCATAATTCCGGGTTGATACTCTTAAAAAAACCCACTGGAATTTTGTCCGGATCAGTGTCATTCTTAGGGTCAAGTCTGTTGATAAGTATGGAGACTTCTCGTGCTGTGGTTTTAATATTACTGAGATTGTGCTCGATGAGACGTTGGAAATTGGGAAGGGAATGTTCTTTCGCATCTAACGTTGAGTGAGAGACAAAGATGGAGGCGAAGAGGTTCGCCTTATCTGTCGAGAAAGATATGATCACGTGGCCATTTATAATTATCGGCAAAGCTGCTTTACTTCTGTTCATGATTTGGTTGGTGATCTTCTAAAATTTTACGGGATCCATTTTTTTCTTTTCAACCCTGATCTGGACTGCTCGTGTATAGCTGAACTTGGCGTTTCCCAAAACTTTTTTGCAGCAATTGTGGGCATTTCTGAATGCAGTAAGGGCCGAACTACATCATTCCTTGCGATAGATATTGAAGTAGCGGTTTCGGTGATTTATGGGTGCAGCGCATTCAGGGGTGAACCAATGTTAATTGTTTGATTTTTGTTCGATTTTTTAGGGGGGGTGTATAAAACTTCAGAAAGGATCCAATCAGTGACAAGGGTAGCAGTTTTTGAGGCAGAATGTTTGAAGAAGGTTCGGAGGGGAGCTTCCATCATGTAGGATCGAAAACTGTCTCAATCTGCATTCACATAGCGAAAGATCTACGTCAGGGGTTGCCTTAGGTTTGGCGTCAATCTGGACACTGATCAAGGAATGATCTGACGGTGGAGTGGTGGTAAAACTTTTGATAAGCATTTGTCAGAGCAGGAGTTTAGAAGAGTTATCGAAGAGGTTTGCCTGATGACCAGTCGTGTCCTTGGCCCGAGTCGGTTCTCCAATGATCTGGGTTAGCTCATAGGCGATGGAGAAGTCTCTGCAATATCTGCCCTCAACATTGGTTTTGTTGAAGTGGACTGGTCACTCTTTATGATGGATATTGAAGTCACCGCAGTTATGAAGCTGGTCGAGTGGAATTAGTTTAGGTTATTATTAATCTTCTCAGATATTGGATCTAAGATTGCTTTCCCTTCGTCCTGAGGACGGTAGACAGCAAATACGAATGTGGTACTATGGATAAGTGCCACGCAGGAGATCAGATTCCTTGTTTTTTTGCGTCCCTGCCACAGGGAAATCTTGTATTTGATTTAAGTTTTGAGTCTGTGACTGTGGCGACTTAGGTGGTCATGTTTGGCTATGAGAGGTAAGTAGCCCAGGATTCTGAACTCCCTCTAGTGCGCATGAAGAATTGATACCGGTTTCAGAAAGTAACAGGGGACTGGAGAAGATGGTGGTCCATTACTGGAAAGTTGAAACGTAGACCCCTCACGTCGGTGTAGGAGATGATATACGTGGGGGGGTCTACTTTGTTTTTTTAGGTTGGTCTTGATAGTTTTGTTCATTTGAATTTTGATTGGATTCATGTCTGTATTGGTTGGTGGAAGATGAGTAGGCAGAGAGACAGACACACCCGCAGGAGTTGCATGTATAAATACCTTGGAGAGATTCGTTCTAAGATACAGCCGTAGCAGTACCCTTCATCATGGCATCGAGAGACCCCGCCGAAGACTACTGGATGGTCCAGAAACCATTCACAAGATGGTAGGGCAATAGCCTTGATATTATACACCTGCTGACAGGATAGCCATCTTCGGATTTACTCGAAGGTCAGGATCCCTATCAAGCGGTTAACACCCAAACCCAGGAAACTTCTACCTGCAGCACCCTTAATGAAGGGACTATCAACCAAGCAAAGAAAAATACAAGCGTGATGCTCCGACTGGATATGTCGCGACTGCCCAGAAGTCAAGGCAACAGAACTCCTCCTTGGGTTAGAAACATCTTACCGATCAGACTTAAAGGCACCGAGACAAGCTCGCTCATGTACTTGAGGACCCAGAAACCGAATTGGAGAAGAGGGGAGAGGCGAGGGTTGCTCGGAGATGCATGCGCATCCCCTACACCCATTTGAATTAGTATAGTAGATGATGAAAAGAGCGGAAGCATTCAAAGGGCAAGTTATCTATTCAATAGAAGAAAAAAAAAATTCAGGCTTACAAAGGAGAAGCATTATGGATCAGAGGGAGGGGCAGGGAGTGTGAAACGCCTATAGAGTTTTAATTTAGTATAAGTACAAGTATGCAATTTCTTTGTGGGGGGAGAAGTGGATAGATTCCAATGTAACACAGAAATTTAAAGGCAAAATAAATAAAAATGGAAACAGTTCAAACAATGAGAAAAGCTAAACAGAAAGACATTGTCGAAAACATACGGACGAAGAAATTCATGGGTGACATTTTGACCACACGTGAGGCAGGAAGCATATCGCTGACGCTTCCGTGGGAGGAGGAGGAGGTGGAGGTGGAGGAGGAGGAGGAAGGGAGAATAATGAGCTACCCTACTAGTATTGGCGTGGGTAGGAATAGTTTTTTTTCGATATCTTACATTTTTCTTCATTTTCTTTTCCTACATTTGCCTGTAAATATGCCCCCCCTCTCTTTGAGAGCGAACAATATTTGATCAACAGTCAGTAATAAAGCAAATTTTCAGCATAGTCACCACCGTAAGAGACTGTTTGCAAATATCGGTCCAAAAGGAAACCACATATGAGATAGATAGATAGATAGATAGATAGATTGATTGATAGATAGATAGATAGATAGATAGATAGATAAACAGGCCATGATAGATAGATAGATAGATAGACTATTCAATGACAAGGGTAAGAACTGAATTTACATATTGAATTTATAGATAGCAAGGTTAATTATTAACGGTAATTATATTTTAGATTGTTTAAAAACGTTATAATGTGTCAACATTCAATCTGAAATTATCCTATTAGGCATTTTATAATTTTACCGTTTAAAAGACATTTCTTAAAAAAAATCTTTGCTAAACAAACGGAGTGAATCCTTCCAACATGTATACAGTTTGTCAAATATTCGACACATTAATATAATCGTTATAATAAATATTACCGATTGTCCAAGTATATTTATTTACGAAGTTTGTCTATAAATTTTATCTCCTTTCTTCAAAATAAATATTGTCGGTTCATTTCATGACGATACAATAAGAGCAGAAACTGGAACGTGAAATATGCAAATATAGAAAAGTTATACACGTGCGCGTGTGGGTAGGTGTGTATGTGTGAAATTACCATAGAAACTGAGCAGTGTTACCATGGTTACCATCATGGACATGATAATCTATTTATTATTTATGTTTTTTTATCCCCGATCGCTTTATTTATTTCTCCAATTCCACTTTTGCCCGAACAACTGACAGTTGTGAAAAGTGATGCACGCAATCAGTCCTATTTCAAAACGCTGTCATAGCAACCGTATTTAAACAAACATTTCAAATCAACTGATATTTCCTTTTCAAGAAACCAAAATTATTTCCAAGAAAAGAATGCAAATATTGATCCGGCAAATCTACAACAGTGGAGGTCTTATTTGTCAATTAGCCAGATTTTATAATCAGTGTTGGTATTTGCAATAGTTATTTCCCTCGACATGTTGAATGATTAAGGCTAAAGAAACTTACAAAAAGTAACACAAACAACCATCCCTAATATTATCATCCTCAGTCCAATGACCGGGTGTGGTCTAAGGATCGCTGTGCAGTTGACCAGTACCCTTCACATATCTTGGTAGGTATTAATTCATGTTTGGAGAGTGTCTTGGGCAAAGTAGACCTGGTGGAGCGCTATCTCCCACCAGGGAAAATCAAACAGCCCGATATCCCCTGACTTAAAAGCTCGCCTTAATCACAGACACGGGTTTGTTGATTTCATCGAGGTGGTATTTAATATATACTCGCCATATACAGAGTGCGATGGTTAAAGTATCGCCATTTTTTATTTCGCGCATGCGCGTTATTTGCTTTGGACTTTGTCGACTACACAGAATAGTAGGCTCAGTTGGACACTGTCTTTGAGAAAAAGAACATTATGACGCAATTTACTCCGCAAGAAATTTGGTAACGGCATGCTGTACTGCTTGGCATTCGCGCCAAAAGCTCCATTACATTTCAGAGTGTTTGGTTGCAAAGGATTAAAGATGTGGATGATATATCCTGTCGGCATCATGGTGTATGGAGATCATTAGTGGTGGTGATGTTATTCCGCCATTCATCCTCCAACAGCGCCCTAGACTCAACACGAAGGCCTACATCAAGTACATTGAGCAGGTAGTGTTGCCCTGGGTCAAGAGAGTGGCTGCTGGAAGACCCTGTATATGGGAACAGGTCTCTGCACCATGCCACACAAGCAGGAGAACCCAGTTTTGGCTGTCAGACAATTTCTGCGACCACATCATCCCTTACATCTGGCCACCTAACTCCCCAGACTGCAACTCCCTTGATTATTATGTGTGTGACACAAGTGAGTGAGAGACCAACAAAACTTCTTAAACACCAAAGATAAACTGAAGGCAAGGATGATGATAGCATTTACCAACTTAAAGAAGAGTTGCAGGAGATTCAGAAGTCGTCTGGAGACCGTGGTTGAAGACAATAGCGATTTTATTGAATAAATTTACTCTTTAGCATTTCAAGATATTTTTGTGTAATTTTAGTAAATATATCTTTTAAAATGAGATGTCAGTGTTATTTTCATTTTTGCGTCATTTAGACGACAATTTATCCATCGCAATTTATGTCAAACTAGAGTTTCAAATACTCAAGAAATAAAGTTTTTTTTCTTTCCTGCTTTGCGTGAATGACTTATCATTGCAGACTGTTTGTCTCACCTGTCTTCATATCAAGACTTCATAGTCTTGATGGGATCGTTCTGCTTACTCATCACTCATTGTACCAATATTTTCAAGGGAGTAGTCCAAGTAGATTGTACAAGAAATGCACTTTTACACTCCTGTTGCAGCCTAGTTCTCGAAAACTGGTAAAGTTTTTCATAATTCAACGACTTCCTATTTCCCAGAAAACCAGACACAACTGCAGCAAAAACATTCCACCCTTCTTTTTCAGCAACAGAAATGGCTTCCAAAAACTGCTCGTCTTGCCGCCTAATTGCCCGTCAAACACACCAGTCTTCATTTTCTCACAAGACAAGGTTAAAACTTTTCTGTTTAAGTATTTGAAACAGTCACTACCCTAGTCCAAATGTTACACAAACTGCATCAGCAGCCCAAGCAAAACATTCATGGGATTAACTAGCAGCCTGTTTAAAACATTCTTCTTTCTAATTTTGAACTCCCTTCTGTTTGGTTGTCTTCCGTAACCAATGGTCACTTTTTGCTCAACTGTCCCAGAGACACAAACAGCAAGAATAATTGGTATAGCCACCTTGTAGACCAAAAAGCAGTCCAAGGACTTTCAAGTCATCACATATCGTCCAGTTGTACTCCTCATGACGCATCTTATCAAGCATTATTTTCATACAGTAGTGGTTATCCTTTAGCGTCACAGAATGTCCAATCGGTATAGAAGCAAATATATTTTCCTTTATGCAGCAGGACACACTTAAGATTAACTTTTAAGCTATGAAAAACTTTCAGTTTTTTTCAACACAGGCTATATCTTGATCACCCGGTTTCATGCCAAAGTTAGGTAATATTTCTTCACACAATCTGTGATCTTTTCACTGCTTAAGTAAAGTGTAACATCCACAAATATAGCAGAAAGTATTATGGCTGTTCTTTCCCATTTTTTCTCTAACAAATGGCCATATTTCTGAAATACTAAACATATATTGAAGTCAATTACCATCTGGAAAATAATTCTCAGAATTGCCAACAGTTATAAAGTAAGCAAATATAGGTTTGCAATGGCAAAGTTCTTTAAAAAGCATACATACCATAAAGCAAATCCTACAGTTTTTGGACCCTGATTGACAAAATGTTACCATGACCCATATGACCTCACAATTGTAACATTAAGAATGCATTTCAAATACCAATTTTCATAAGAAATACTTTAAGGTTTTCAATGATAGTCATACTATATCAAGCACAGCATGGGCTTATCTGCAGGCAAATAGAGCAAATTCCATGCATATGAGACGATGTGTATGATGTCAAGGCCCTCAAAAATATGTTGTTTATTAAAATTGCATAAAAGACGTTTCTATCCTCATCATGACATTTAAAAATGATTAGATTGAAAATAGTGAAAGTTGCTCAAGTTTGACGCTTTTTATTTACTGATCGGGACTTTTGTTTTCACTTTTGTTGTTGCATTTACTTTAAATGACATTGAGAAACTATATTTTCAAAGTTATTTCAATCTCCATACACAGGGTCTGCATTTGATCAAGCCAAATCTGCCCTTAAAAATGGTGACAATACAGGAAATGTTGCAAAATGGACATTTGAGTTTGTGAAAATTCATTTTTCATATCCGTCCCACAAAATTACTAGGAAACATGTCTTCAACACCAGATTGGAAAACCTATCTTCCACAGTGTTATACATAACAGTAAAAAAAAATCTAAATAAATATTAGGATCCGAGACACCCTAATGTAAATAAAAATAAATACACTATTAACTTATTCTATTGTAACTAGATGGACTTTAACTATAAATAAGCTACTAAAATATAATACACTACTACGATCCAAACAAATATTAGTCAGATCTGCAGAAGAAATTTTAAGGTGAAAACTGGTATATGACTATTAAACCAAAAGACACACACACATATATATATATATATATATATATATATATATATATATATATATATATATATATTCATACATATATCTATATGTATATATGTATGTAAATATAAAAGTGAACATTGAAATCAACAGAGGCGACAGGTTGTTTCATGCTAGACGCATTCGTCAGGCCCGATGATTGCGCGTCTAGCATGAAACAGCCTGTCGCCTCTAAGTGTTGACTTCATGTTCACTTTATATATATATATATATATATATATATATATATATATATATATATATATATATATATATAATGCAACTAGTGATACATGTGAGGGCTAATTTATGATGTATTTTGGTTACAATAAACTAGGCTTAGTGCATTTTGATATTTTTGTGCCCGTTTTTCATTATTTTAATTACATTTATTTAACACCAGTAACATTAGGGAATCGATTATTGACGCACGAGACATCCAACAAGTCATCTAATGAGGAAGCCCATTAGAATAGTTGTGGCACCAGATGTAATGCAGCCGCAGTAGTGCTGGGGTGTGGCTAGTGTAAGATCCCTGATGGCTAACATCCTTCTTCAGGCTCGTTTTGAATTCAAAATTTTACTTCTTTTCGATTTGCTACTACCCAAGGCTAGAGAAAATGTCCAGTTTATACAACTATTTAACCACTAGCGGGGGGGGAGAAGAGATGGATTTATACCTTTTTCCAAGAAGATTTGTTTTTTTAGCCTAATGAACTTGGCCGGAATTTGTTTAGATTTGTCTTTCCGAGTTGCTCATCGCTACGCCAACCATACACCACATGTGTTTTTAGGATATTTATAAATGTTTCTTTAATCCATTCTAAAATAATATATGAGAAAAGAATCTGTTGATAAAATTAGTGATAGCATTCGAAATGTTCTTTTCAGCTCCGACGTTATTGTAATGTTCGGCCGCTGCGTTCTCCGAGCTTCCTTATGTCTATGTTGATTCGGTTAACCTTCGGAGAATATCGAACTCAACCCTTTATTTAATCAACATGGTTAGATTGTTCTCACGCTGTTGTCCATGTCTAGGGATATCTCGTCATGTTCCCTCATTGCTCGACTTGTTTCCTCTGAGTATAAATCTACACTACCCCATCCAGGGATTGAACTCACACTTTCATCTACTAGACTATTGTATAGGTTCACATAAAAATTAGCAATAGTATATCTGTACAGACATTAATTATTTTAATTAAGAGGCAAGAATTTAAATTTTTACATTTTTATACGGTATTTGATAAAAATGCGAATATTAGAATCAATTTGAATGTATAAGAAAATGATTCTATTTTAATATGAAGTCAGTAATTAAAATTGAAGCTGAATTATTTCCAACGCAACTTTAAGAAAATATCAATGACGTTATTAGTTAAGATAAATATTTCTTGAATATCTCTAAAGTATAGGTTTAACAAAGTTTTTTGAAACCTGTACTATCTACATATAATATGTAAGTTTGTCCTAAGGAGTAAGCTCTATCTGTCATGTCCTCCGGACATTATCTTTACAGGAGTCAGGGATTGACCCAAAATGGAGCATTGCTACAGTATCTGCGCTAGAGTTGCATCTGATAGGAGTTCAAAATCGTTTTCAGGCTCTTTTGGATTGAAAAAATATTTTACACTCTGCAATTATTTCATACGAGCGAAAAATAGAAAGCTTGTCGCTATTTCCATGGCAAATGTTTAGAATAGCTTCATTAGGGTTTTTTTTTTCACCCAAGAAGCTCCCGCGTTTGTGCTTCCCTGAACACGACAATCTTAACCTCTTCAAATCAAAGAGCAATCGTCATCTTTCCGCTTTATCACCACAATCTTCATTTTCAACCATTTCCTCTTTCGCCCATTCACCATAACCATTTTAACTGTAGCACTCTAACTTGAGTGGCTCTAGAGCCTTGTACCGGGCGAACTTTAGTAGTACAAAAATGTAGTAATTTACAAATATCGGTCTAAGAGGAAATTACATACAAAATAGATAGATAGATAGATAGATAGATAGATAGATAGATAGATAGATAGATAGATAGATAGATAGATGCCTGAACACAGAGAGAGAGAGAGAGAGAAATGAACACTCTATGATAGGTAGATGAGCAAACTATGATAGATAGATAGATAGATAGATAGATAGATAGATAGAATGTCAGAGCTGACTCCAGGAAACTTCCCTCACCAAAAAAGCAGTACATGCTCCTATTTATAGCTGGGAGAGTCCATGCGTCGTGGGTAAATTACCATAATAGATAGATAGATAGATAGAGAGAGAGAGAGAGAGAGAGAAAGATGAGCAGACTATGATAGATAGATAGATAGATAGATAGATAGATAGATAGATAGATAGATACCTGAACACACTAAGATAGATAGATAGATAGATAGAGAGAGAGAGAGAGAGAGAAATGAACACTCTATGATAGGTAGATGAGCAGACTATGATAGATAGATAGATAGATAGATAGATAGATAGATAGATAGATAGATAGGGCAGGTCACGACAGAAACAAATTTGATTATATATCAT